AAATAAAACACCAACCAGAGCAAATTGAAGCAAATCAGCAGCCTGTAGGCCTGGTCTTTATTGAAGAAAGACTGTCGCGACAGGGTGCTCCCCTCACTCGCAGGTGAGAGGGAAGACCCAGAAAAATAGTGTGCCAGGTCTTATAAAAACTTTTGAAATTCCCCTCCTCTAGGTCAAGCCCACCCCCAGAAACATCATGCATACATTACAGAAAGGAGGGGTTGAGGGAGGAGTTGGTGGCAACCTGAGTATCTTGTCACCTGGCTGGTTCCTCCTTTCCCCCCTCCCCATGAGTCACTTCCAGGAGACAAAGGGGAGTTTGCAGTTTCCTGCCCCCTGAGGGAAGATCTGATCATTGTCCTTTGTTTCAGTCCATGCTGAATCCACTCCCATATGCAAGTTCTTTGTGATCTTGATTGTCTTCTGTCTGGGATCATCTGGGCAGGGCTCCTGCAGATGTGCTGGGATGTGCTGAGATGGTGGAGGGATTATGGCTGACCAGGAATAAGTCACCCCCCTTTGTTAGTTCTAGTCATATGGAGTAAAATAAAAATGGAACAGTGCAAATCCAATGTATGGTTGATTTTCTATGAATTTATAACAGAAATGTGGCGTATGTAGTGTGTGAGTGTCTGTGTGTGTGTGTAGTTTGTACAAACAGAATGATTGGGGTGGGGGGGTTCCTGCTACACTGGGAACCTGAAAGTAGTATAAAAGTAATTTAGGAAAGTAATCATAGGGGGGAAATAGTATAAAAGTAATTTATCTGTAATCAGATAGAAATCCACTCTGGCGGTGCATTTCAGAGTCCCCCTGAAAGAGAACGAGAGGCAAAGGCGTGCAGATTTCCAACAAGTTGGGTGGTGCGAGACTGCAAGTGTGCAGAGCTCTTTCCCAAACCTGGGGGACTGTTAGCTGCAACAATATCCAGACAGCACCAGGCCAGGGAAGGCTGCATCCGGATGCTTTCAACCCCATGGATCCATCAGTGCCCTACTGTCGCTGCCGAGAGATGTTGCTGGTGACTGAAGCTGTGGCGAAACACAAACTCCTTTATTGCACGCACACATCTCCTCATCGAGATCTTGTTGCCTGCCATGAGGCCCAATCTCTGTTGACACAACTGTGAGCGCACAAACCACGCAGATCCTGGAACCAAGTCTGAACAAGAGAAAAGATTTCTTTCTCCAACAACCATCCGATGCAGATAATGCCTTCCACAGAAGCAGATGTAAAGAGGTGGTTTTTTTCTTAAAGAGCAAGTGTTGCCCACACAACTGGGCTAGGCTCTGCTCTCCATCCTATTCAGCACACTCCATTCAGACAGAAGTTTCAACTGGCCTCCAATTTTCATGTTTCTCACCTCTGAAAGAGTAGAACTTTCTTTCTGTGCTACTGAGTCTTCCTCTGCTTCAGACTCCCTACGAATTCTCCATCCGCAGCAAAAAGAATAAGCCCGAATTTTCTAAAGGCCAGATATGGCACCGTTGCCTGAGCCACGGCATCCCATGCACATACAACACATATGCCATATCGTGGGATGTAGCAGATGAAGCATGCCTAGGCTGCCCCTTAAAATTAAATTACACCAACAGTACAGTCATGGAAACAGGGAGATGAGAAGAATATAAAGTTATCAATTTTTAAAGCATTATATTGCACTGTAAACTGCTTCAAGTGACCAAGGGAGAAAAGCAAAGTATAAATCTTCTATGGAGATTTGACACAGAATAAACCAGTGGATGCAGTGACCTTAGAATTTACAGTTTCCTTCTGCATCAGACAAGCCAAACACCTGCATGTCTATTTATTGTTGCTTACTGAATTTATATCCTGCCCTTCCTCCCCAGGGCAGCAGACAGATCCACAACTTGGAAAAGCAGCAATGATGTCCTGAAACAGATCAAAACGTTCCAAAACCAAACGCAACTAATAACATTCTGAAAGCAGTTGAGAGAGAAAAAGCACTTGGCACACGGCAAGGCATGCTCCTTGCTGCTTTGCAGAAATTTAACCAAAATACAACTTTTGCCAGGCAGGTAAAATGCAGCTTTTTGCAGCAGCTTTCAGGTCTGGGAGTAGCCAAATCGACCTTGCCTCCCCATGGGACTCCAGCACCCATTTCCCATCCTCATGGCGCCCATCCAGGAAGAGAACAGACCCCAGCATCAGCCCCTCAGCTCAGGAATGACAGCTCCAGCCCCCCTCCCTCTCCAAGCCCCACACAACCCCTCTGGCTCCATCATATCCCTTGCAAGCAAGCCAAGTCACGAGCAGACTGAACCCAGTGGCAATGAGTTGTTTGTCCAAATACTGTACTGGGCTCGTGGGGAGTGTTTCCCCCCGGCATTAATTAGAGGGCACCAGCCCCCAAGACCTTCCTGCATATCATTTCAAGGGGCTCATTTCTGGAAGAGCAATAACTGGTGTTGGGAATTCCCATTGTTCTAGGCGCATTTTGCAACAGGGAATTTCATTAGAGCAAGCAGTTTCTGAGCACAGTAATGCGCCTAAGATTTCAGATTAAAACTGCAAAGTGAAAGGAAATGAGGACCTTTTTCTGCCTTCCCCCTTCTAGCTACTCCCTGAAGACTGGAGAAGAGTCCCTCTTAAGAATAATAGGGGGTGGGCAGGGGAAGGACTACACCATGTGAAAAATGAACATAATATTTTAGCTACAGTTCATTGATTTTCAGCTTTGTATTCTTGTTATCAAAAAAGCGTGCCTAGAAATTCCGTTGTTGCACCCATAACGGAGGTTTAAGGTGCCCTTTAGCTCTTAGCTTTCATATCTCAGTTTCTAATGCTGGCAACGTGTGTTAACAGCAGCCCCACTCTGCCAAACAGTCTTTCTCCACTTGGGATGTATCCCCAGCTAAACACTCCAGTGTACTTACAGGCCTAGTAAATCCAATGAACCCATGATTCAGTGCTAGAAATCTCCCAGGTGCCAGGCGCGTTTTGCTCCTGGCACAGGTTCAGTTGCGACCATGCAGAAATCTCTGGATGCCAGGCTGGCAACTGACATCTCCACCTGGCTGGTCCCTCCAGCTTTCTTAAGCAGCTCAGCAGAAGAGCTTGTTCACTGCCTTTATATCCCACCTTTTTCTCCAAGGAGTCCATGGGTGACCCCCCCCCCGTTAATTCCTACAATGACCCTGTGAGGTAGATTAAGAGGCCATGACTGACGCCAAGGTCCCCCAGTGAGCTTCAGGACAGAGCTGGAATTTGAACCCTGATCTCCCAGGTCCTAGCTGACACTACTTCTGCTATGGGGCAGCTCTATAAATTAAGTAGGTAAAATAAAAGTGGGAAAAGCAAAATGCTACTTAGAGAAGGATCTGGAATATTCCCCTTGAAGCTTTGTTGGATTCTGGATTGTTTTATTTGATGTACTAATGTGTTGTAAACTGCTTTTGAGTTTTTTTCTTTAAAATATAAAGTGCTATAGAAATGAAATAAATAATAACAAAAAATAAATTTCACTGTAAAAAAAGAGGAGCCTAGACATTCTGTTATGGCGATGGTAACCTAGGTTTAAGGTGCCATTTGGCAATTAGCTTATACAGTCAAACCTCGATTGTCAAATTTAATCCATTCCAGAAGACCATTCGACTTCTGAAACATTTGACAACCGAGGCACTGCTTCTTGCACTCAAGCGGAAGCCACTTCAGATGTTCGGGTTCCAAAAAGCATTTGGAAACCGGAGCCTTTACTTTCGGGTTTTTAGCGTTCGGGAGTTGAAACGTTAGAAAACGGAGCCGTCCGAGAACCGAGGTTTGACTGTATATGTGAGTTTCTAACACTGCCAGAATGACTGGGGCCAAAAAGTGGTATATGAATAAATGAGACACAATAATAGAATCATGGAATTGTAGAGTTGGAAGTGGCCCTGAGAGCCATCTAGTCCCTGCAATGCATAGCTATCCCATACATGGATCGAACCTGCAACCTTGGCGTTATCAGCACCACACTCTAAGCAACTGAGCTAGACGGGTGTTGTTGGACTACAACTCCATCATCCCTGACCACAGGCTAGAGATGATGGGAGTAGGAGTCCAACAACGCCTGGGGACCCAAAGTGGAGACAGGCTGCTGTAGAGTCCAGAAGCTGGCCGGAATTCCTCAGTGACCCTCACCCATCAAGGCGCTCTGTGCATGCACAGGAACCACTGGCCCTTCTCAAGCACCTTCTGCAATGACTACTTACGTGTTCCAAGCCCCAACAGTCCCCCGCCCTCCCTGCAAGGTGCTTCCAGTCTGCTATCTAAATGGCAAGATACTCTTCCCCACGCTGCCTCGCTGGGTCCCTTTTCACCAGAAGCGAGAAGCCAGATACCACAACGAAAGCGCAACAACTCCCCACCGGCCCAGGCCCTGTTCTTCACCTCAGTGGCCAGGCAGGCGGAGCTCCAGCTACAGATCCTCACCCTGCCAGTGAAACCTGCCCCTTCCCCCCAAAAAAGCTGTCCACCTCACGTCTTGTGGCGGGGAGTTCCAGAAGCTCATGCTGTGCCTGCAATGTGGAGGAGGCTGCTGACACCACATGAACACCCTTGCCCTCCTTTTGAGCACCCTTTTGGGATCAGCATGGAAGCCCCTCAATCAACATGCAAGCCCCGCCCACTGAACTGTACAGAAGCCCCTCCTTCATTTGATAGGCCCCTCCCACTTTGACCAGCACAGAAGCAGCTCCTCCCTTGGAAAGGCCTCCCTCCTCTTAAGGCCCCTCCCACTTCCTATGGTCCCCGCCCCTCTCAGCTCCTCCCCCTCAATTACCGTGCAAGCCCCTCCCACCTGCCATTGTCTCCTCCCCCTTTTCCCCTCCACGCCCCTCCTCGGTGGCCCCGCCCGCTCGCATCACAGGGCGGTGCCACGTAAGCCCCGCCCCTGAAGACCCCACCGCAAGGGGCGTTTCCTTCCTCGGCCCCGCCCCTCACAGGTGCCCACGTGACCTCCCCCTCCGCGTCACCCTGAGGGCGGCGGTGGCGCCTCTTACCCTCTTGCCCCGCTCGCCTTTTTCTCTGCCTTCCTTCTCGGCCGCTCCGCCTCGCCGCTTCCCCCGCTGCTGCCGAAGCCGCCGCCGCCGCCGCCTCCTCCCTCGCCCTGCCGCGCAACCCAACCTGCTGCCAAGTCCCGAAGGCGGGCAGGGCAGCCCCCCCGCCGTCCGCTCCTGTCCTCCGTCAAAGGGGCGATGACCGACGGCGCCACTCGGCCAATACGCGCGGCGCGTCCCCAGCGCGGAGGCGGGACGAGCGCTCAGCTGCGCCGTTAGGTTGTCCCCGCGGGCGAGGGCGGGGGGAGAGAGCGAGCGAGCGCGGAAGCGGCCAATCCGGGCCCGCGAGGACGGGCGGCGGCGCGGGGGGAGGGAGCGGGGCCTCGGCTCGTATGCAGATTGCGGAGGTGGGCCAGACTGCGCATGTTCCCTCTGTGCATTATTCATGAGTGGAAAAGGCGGGAAGGGAGAGGGGCGGGGCGAGGCGGAAGGACGACGAAGAGAAGAGCAGAGCCAGAAATACAGAACTAGGATCAGTGTCGATTGTCCGTGTCTATTTATGGACAGTGGCACCTCGGGTTAAGAACTTAATTCGTTCCAGAGGTCCGTTCTTAACCTGAAGCACCACTTTAGCTAACCCGAGGTAATATTTCTGGGTTAGTGGAGTCTGTAACATGAAGCGTCTGTAACCCGAGGTACCACTGTATTCAGTTTCCATAATAAAGCCTTTAAAAAATATTAATAATTTAACTATTATTGTTTAAAAACATCAGTACCTCAAAAATGAGAAAATAATACCAATTATTATTAAACTTTAACAAATAATAATCATAAAATCATTACTGCATTTGCCTCCCACCTTTCTCCCAATTTGGCAGTGGCATTTGAAGAATGACAACTGACTGAAAAAAACACCAAATAATGTTACAGTATTTATTTTTATTTTATTAAATCTTCATGGGCGGTTTGCAATGAAATCATGATAGGAAAAACACAAAATACATTCTACAAATAAGAACGAAAACAACCCAATAATCGCCAGAGAAGTAAAAACCGGAAGGCAACCCTTGAAACGCAGACTGAGAAGCTGAGGCCCAATATATATATATATAAATTCCAGTATTTGGACAGCAACCAATATGTGCAAATTTGGGAGGATAGTGAATCCAAACAGGAAGAAAAACCTGAGATTCATTAGGCAAACAAAGCAAACAATCAGCTTCAGTGGTGCATCAATTTAATGCATAAAAGGTTCTTTTCACTTTTTAAGAAAAGCCCTTCCACAAAGCAATAACAATAATAACAATAATAATAACAATAATTTTATTGTTTGTACATCTCCCATCTGTCTTGCCAAATGCAAGGTGGTTCTTTAAAATGAGAGTCAGAACACTCTGGGTGACTTCTAGCACATATAAAAATGAAATAAAACGCCAAACATTAAAAACTTCCAGATTAAAAAAATGCCCTTCAGGTAAAAGAGGAAGGGAGGATAGAGCCGTTTGCGGCCATTTTGTGGATCCCTCAAAGCCTGAAGCCCTGGAGAAATCTCTCAATCTCCAATCCCCCAACGAAATCTCTTAGATCGGGGTGGGCAGCCTAAGGTCTGTGGGCCGGATCCGGCCCAATCGCCTTCTCAATCCGGCCCACAGACAGTCCGGGAATCAGCTTCTTTTTACATGAGTAGAATGTGTCCTTTTATTTAAAATGCATCTCTGGGTTATTTGTGGGGCATAGGAATTTATTCATACCATTTTTCAAAATATAGTCCGGCCCCCCACATGATCTGAGGGATGGTGGACCGGCCCACGGCTGAAAAAGGTTGCTGCCCCCTGTCTTAAAGGTAAATGTACCCCTGCCCGTACGGGCCAGTCGTGTCCGACTCTAGGGTTGCGCGCTCATCTCGCTCAAGAGGCCGGGAGCCGGCGCCGTCCGAAGACACTTCCGGGTCACGTGGCCAGCGAGACGAAGCTGCAGCTGGCGAGCCAGCACCAGCGCCGCACACGGAAACGCCCCCTGTCTTAGATGGCAATAAATTGGACAATAAACTTATTTCAATAAATGAGTTTGCTCAAGTTTGCTCAAATCAAAGATTCAGCTCAATGCCCACTCCCAGATTTGCCCCTTGACTGGCTGCACTTTTAGATGCCCAAAAATAAAATTTAAATTAACACATTTTGCACATGGAGAAAGACCTCCGCAAGAGATGAGGAACTCCCATCTCGTCTTCGCTTTTCCTGTCTTATCGGCGAGTGGCCTGGTATCCTGGACCACAAAAACGATAACATTTTGCTGTGGAGACACACTTTTGTGCCCATGTGCATGCAGAGAAGGGGGCAGAATAAAAGGAAATGGTGATTTCTACCAGCTGGGTGCAGAACAAAATTGCTGCAGCTGAATGTAAAAGGCTTTAGGATATTTGATTTGTCCATGGGAAAACGAAGGGAAATGGAAGACAGGCTCCCTTTGCAGGGCTGTGGGCACAAGTCTTCCTGCCAAAGGGAATTGCACTGAGATATTAAGGCAGAAACATGCTTTGCAGGGAGAGAATGCATCAGGAGAAATTGAATGATCCATTATCAGAACCATTTTAAAGTGGAACGAAGCTGGACTCTGGCTGTGGCTGGAGCAAGTTAGTTCCTTGGAGGTTTTTAAGCATAGCTTGGATGTCCATCTGCCAGGGATGCTTTGGCTGAGATTCCTGCATTGCAGGGGTTGGGCTGGATGACCGCTGGGGGTCCCTTCCAACTCTACAGTTCTATGAAAGTGTACACTCAGCTCAGTGAGGGAACCAGTTGCTTCTTCTTGGAGAGAAAGCAACGTTTATCTCTTAATTTTGGGCAGAGGCAGCTCATGCCGAAGTCATGAGGCCTCAACAGGGACAGCCAGCCCTGCGAGGAAGGCCAGGGGGAGAGAGAGAGCAGCTGCCACAAAGGCTGCCTTTGGGTAGGGATGGGCTGCCCACTGTCGGATGCAGGAGGCCAGACTAGGCCTGCCCACCTGGGCCTGATCCAGGCACTGATCGGGGGGGGGAGCACCCTGGTCCGTTAGGGCCCCACCCCAGAGCGCCCTCTGGGCAAGTCACCCTCAACCCCCAACTCCCAATTCTTCCAGGCAAAGGAGCAAAGCCAGTTTCGCTTTTGGGTGCAGGGTGCCCCCTGGTGGCCAAGGGCAGGTGGTGCATTGGTGGAGAGTCACCCATCGATGGGGAGCCTGTGTCACCCGAAACAGGGCATGAAATGGGTGCCATTCCAGACCTTGCAGGTGCAGCAACCTTGCAAGCTTCCAAGTCAACACTGGCCTCTCCTTTTTACAATGTGTGCTTATAAATTTATTGAGCTTATTACAGTAAATTAAAGGAAATAAGAAAGGGGAGAAATAGAAAAAAGGAAGAGAATACATAAAAAAAACTTAAAGCATTTTAAATACCAAAAGAACCATAAAATATAACTATATAGTATCTATGTAGATGAATAAACTCATTGTTTCCCTCAAATATTTGATTAACTATGTGGTTTTGACAAATACATTCCAAATATCATTAAATTTGATTGTGCGTAATCTTTGTCCGTTCATTAGTTGCAAGAATTGTCATGTCCTCTATCCATCGATCGAAGGGGGACATATTTTTGCCCTTCCAATGTATAAATATAAATCTTTTTGCAGATGTGTGGGCCCAGAGACTCTATTTTGCTGACCATCTGTCAAGCCCCATAGGTATATGAATGATATCTTCTGAAATTTTTAGCTCTTTCCCCACAACAGCATTTTTATACATCCTAATTCCCCACACACACACACACACACACACAGACGCAAATTCACCAATAATGGACACTGTAAAAAACATAAGTTTAAAAGAAGCGTTTTCCTTTTTGCATCTCCAACAGCAGGCTGTCATCAACGGATGTTTATGCCATCGTGTGATGGAGTCCAATAAACTCAAAATAAGATCTTTTCTTGCATGAGACATAGTTTATAATCTCGTGACACATTAGAAACAGAGCTAACACAGAGCTTTCCTGAAGGCCGGTGGCAGGAGGAGAAAGCAAACGCCTCTGTCAGGCCCTCCGAGGGCCCTGCTTTTCCAGGGACAGTCCCAGAATTACAGAAGACGTCCCGGTTCCTGATTTGATCCCGGAATGTCCCGCTTTCCTTTTTCCCTCCCCATCTTGGAGAATAATTAAAAGTGGTGTGTGCAGGGGCTAAAACGGAGTCCTGTTTATACTGAAAATAAAATTCCTGCACCAAATGGAGGAAAAGGTGAAGTGTCCTATAATTCTGAAGGAAAAGGTCACCCATCCACTTTAAAGTCTTTCATTGCAAGTCATTCTGCAGCCTGCCATTTCTTAGGAAGCACGGAGGTTTATTCCTTTATTGTAAATGGAGCCTCACTCTGCCTACTCAGAAGTAAGTCCCACTGTAGTCAATGGAGCTTACAACCAAGTAATTGGGTATAAAGATTGTGCAGCTTCACACTGCAACCTGAAGCATTTTTACTTGGAACTAAGTCCCACTGAGTTCAATAGCAATAGCATTTACTCTCTGGTAGGATCATTCTGTTTCCAGTATTATTATTTCCTGCCTCCCCCCCCTCCCCCCAGGGACTCAGGGCTGCTTACAGCTGAAATATTGTTTCATTCCATTTATCTGTAGAAGATGTTGCGCACGATTCCTTCCCTCGCACCTTTTTCCTTTACAACAAACCTGTGAGGTCAGTTCAGCAGAGGCTGCCCTTGGTTCAAGGTGGCTGAGGTTGAAGCGCATAAGGCATCTCTGTGTGCAGTGAGCTCAAATGTGGGAGAAGCTTCCTGGTGGAGAAGAGGACGTCCCTATTTCCATCGGAGAAAGGGGGCTCAGGGAGAGGCATGGGGGTGCCCCCCTTTTCCAAGGGGGCTGCAGCTCTCCCCTCCCCCCGTCTCCTCCGCTCCCAAACGCCAGCAGAGAGCCAACGGTTTCCACAGCAACCGTGTGAATGACGCATTTCAGGATTTGCCATGCAGGGCCTAAGGGGGACTTGTCATTTCTGATTGTGAGGGGGGCAGAGACACTGTGAGATCCACACACCGATGCACCACAGAAGCGCCACACACCCGGGGAGCAAGGCTGGCAGGTGTCCCATAACGGGGGTCTGGCTGGCCCCTGTGAGGACAGCATGCTGGACCCAGCAGCCCAGCTCTTCTTGTGTCCCTATGCAACCTCCAGGCCCAGAAGCAGTCTATCCTGATTAGTTGAGGACAGGCTCTTCTGGTGACCTTCATGCGCAGACGCACCTTTGTGCAAACGCAGGCCTCAAATGCAGGA